ATTCTTCATCACCGGAAATGCCCAGAATGACTGATCGGGATCTCGGATGCCTTCGGCGGAATCAATCTTTGCCACCGTATTGCCAATCTGAAAGCGTGGATGATAACGAGGACTCGAAAGCTTCCAATCCCTCACGGTCGGTCTCGCAAATTCACGGAAGCAATTTCATTCGTCGTATGTTTGAGCACATATGGACATCCTACTCCCGTCCGACAAACTCCNTTTCGCTGCCCACAGAAACGGTCATTCAAGCAGTAGGACGGGGCCTGAAAGTACTAGTCCATCCGGGGCTCTGCCTGCTGCAGGAGTAGATAAATCGGCCGGTCGGCGACGCATAAGGGAGGACCAGCATGAGAAAGAATCTTCCAGTAGTGGTCTGATTGACTTCAGTTCATCAACCGGATCCACTACGAGTGATCATCTGGTTCTATCCCAGCCGGACGGACTTGCTGCTGCCTCTCCGACTAGCGAAGACCGAAAAAATGTGGCTGAATTTGAGCGGGCAGAAGACCAAGAGCAACAAGAACACCAACAGCAGCAGCAGCAACAACAACAGCAAGTATGGCTTCCAAAACATCTACAAACAAAATGATATCAAGCACTGGAAAATACGCTTGCTTGACCTCGACGTACGTTTCTATCCCCGAATCTGGCTTAGTTTGTGCTCATAATGTTTTTAACAATTATATCTCATGAATATGAGTAGAACGGGTTCTGTTGTTTACATGTAGCAGAGCGATCCATAGGTAGAATGGCATAGAAAAAGACCCAACGCGAATATGTTGAGTTGAAGCTGGTACATACTGAGTAGTTTGATGCTTACTTTGGTACGTCTATCAATGGCCAACTGTAAACTTATTCTATGAGTCATCTAATACCACGGGATTGGGTAGGTGGGGAGGAGCGAACCCAGTCAAGTCTCTCTTGTGTGGTTGTGTCCATTTGATATTGCATTACGCATTAACAATCCCACTTGCTTTAGGGCCTTTGGTGATGCAACGTATGGAACATTCTAGAATCTCCCAGATCCTGTTTTGTTTGTAGCCGACGATGCGTATTACTCGAGCAGTCTAGGTAGTGTGTGTAGCGGGGGGGAGCATTGTGCTTAACCGTCATTTCAACTTGTTTCCGCATTATTTTAACCGGTTTTTGCATCACTTTAAGCTGTCTTACTGACCATATCAGCGTTTCCAGGTCAACGCATAGAGATTTCCATAACCGACTGCAGGGAAGACTGTTGTGGGAAATGCCTGGATTGCACAATCCCCCGGATTCCCTAGACATGTATTGGTTGTTTGCGCTGCCATAATGTGTGTGTGCTTTCGTTTCTTCTCATTTTGACCAGTTATCTATGGGGTGGTGCCGCCGAAAAGAATGGATCACACGCGATCAATGATGGATTGATTGCTGACCTAGGAAAAACTGACGACTGAGGTTCGACATCTGGGGACAGAAACCGGATAAGGGTGACTAGCCGCCTAAGAACGAGATGAATGACAAAAGGTCAGAAACGAGTTTAGAAGAGCATCAATCAAAATAATAACGATGGCTGCGGGATCACAAGGCAAAGGCCCGGTGACCAGAAAACGATTACCGGTTCGTGGATTGGCCGGAATGGTCTTACGTACACCGCGCATGATGGAAGAGAGAAACAGCGGAATGTGAAGATCCATCCTAAACGTGATAGACATCACTGAAGACCTACCCCCAGCCCCTATATAGCTGACATGGGCTTGCAAGGGGATGAGATACACCTGAAGAATATTCGATCTCAAGGATGAGATGGCGTAAATTCAGACAGGGCAAAGTTGATTTAATAGGCTGCACTTGCGTTGTTCCCGCATCTTTTTTCCCCGGTCAAAGAAGACCGACACAGAGGTACATAACTATTCAATACTTATGTGAACCGTGACAAGGGGATTGAAGCCTCGATAGAAAACTCTGATGGTATCATAAATCACACTGATTTTCTCCACGGAGCACCAAATTCCAGTTATTGTTTTGTTTACTGCGGCTGGCTTGTTGGAAAGGATAAGCCGGCTCCAGACATGATCATGCTCAAGAACATGGAGCTGCTTGGGAGTTTGGTACGAGGGACGTCCCCAGCGTCACTCGGCATTCTTGTTTTATTGTGAGGGAGTACTTCTAGCCTTTGCACAACCAAGTGCGAACTTCAAAGCGTCAGAAATTACTCATCAGGAAGCGAGGGCCTGAATGACTTTAGTTTTAAAAGGCCAGTCACATCGACCTTTGTCACAACATCACCGGGGTTATGCGGCTTTTAAACAGGAGTCTGGTGACCAGCCACCCTGGTAGTGCCACCGCTGTTTAATCGCGACTGCTTATTTATGTATTTATTTATTTACGGTATGCCACAACTTATTCACAGTTAACCTTCTTCGGCGCAGATAACCCCCGGGGACAAGCCTGATAGCATTCAGCTCTGCTTGACTCGAGGGTATCCATAGCAAGAGGAACTAAGGATTTCTGAGGATTGATCGGTCACTAGATTAGCCATCAATTTGACTTTACCCCACCCCTTGCTTTCCGACTGTTACAACACTTTTATTGTGTGTATTCAGCGGAGTTAGCCTTGTATATACACTAATCCGTTGGAATGTTATTCCGTGAATTTTTATTTTAGCAAAACAGGTGAAATAGGAAATGATGATATAGTTTGATTTTGATAGGCGGTTTAGGAATGCAGTCACCGGGGTATTGCGAGAAATTACTCGGGACGAAATCTATACTATACACAGTTTACTGCACGTATAGAGTCGTGCGTGGGCGGTTAATCCTCAGTTTAAATTTCAAACAGACTAATTCATATGATCAATTTCTTGCTTCTGTCATAAAATTAGAAAATGAGCTCCACGATGATTGTCATACCCCAACCCACTAGTCACCCCGCGCGCCTGTAAGCATCGACGAATGGCCTCTTCGATACTTTTCCAGACACGGTTGTTTTACCATTGTCCGGCTAAGGTGAATTGCATAGGAATTCTGTCAGGGCTCGTGAAACACAATGCGGTTGCTTGGGCAGGGGGGGTTGGGACGTTAGTGGTGGTGGTGGGGTAATCTGTACTGAGAACGAGCTTGTTTAGAAATTTACGTTCAATTGTTTATTCAAACCCGGCCAGTTTTATATCGATACTCAAAGTGGTCGAACGACACACAATCCAAACCTCATCATATCCTTTTCTCTATTTCATTTCAGGACATGGACGCTGTTCGACAGACTGCGGATAGAAGAGCAAGTTTCTGACAAAGCGCCGGGTTTCCACTGCACAGATTTCTGAAAGAACAAAAACAAAATACCCCGGAAACCTCACTCATTTGTAAATGACCACAGAACTTATATATATATATATCTGTATACATAGAGACAGACAGATTCAAATCCAATTCGTGACTTATCGTTTTCCGGTGATGTTCACAGCCGAATTCGGGGATAACGCCCCTAACGGGAATCTTGTGATCTAAAATGACCGTTCAAATTTCACAGAACCAGAATTTTCCCTCAATATAGTTTGCGATCATTACGACCGCGGTCACGTTACAATCCGGTTGTAGTAATAGATGACGTCAAGTCCGAGCTTACGGCACTTTGTCGCCCGGGTTCAACACCGAGACTCGTGTTCGACAGGGTTGCCCTCTCTCGATCTCTCTGTTTCTATCTATTTATATCATATAGCCTAATTATTGAAACGGTCCGACCCTGGTGCGAGAGAGGATAGCGACATCCATGTGCTGCCAGAGAGTAGACTATGATTTGGAGTATACAGACGACATTCTACTCCTAACTGAAGATACAGGTAAGTTGCAAGCTTTTCTGAATCGCTCGAGTGCCAGCGTAGCCATGTTCGTTATGCACCTTCAAAATGCAGAATGTCGCTGGCAAAACTTGGTTGGTTCAGCACCCATTCTCACTCGAACTGAGGAGGCATCAGAGCAAGCGGATGGGTTTTGTTATTTGGGCAGCTATATTTCACCCGGTGGACACATCACGGATGAAGTGTCAGCTCGTGTGCTGAAAGCTCGGTTGGCATTTACCAACCTGAAACATCTGTGGCGCCGTCGAGATATCCGGCTGTCTGTGAAGGGTAGAGCGTACGTTGTTGCGGCTGTTCGGCCAGTTCGGTTATACGGCGCCTAAACCTGACCATTAGGAAAACAGGATAGAAGTAGATTATCGCTGTCGACGCAGAATTGCACAAATCTATTGGGGCAACCGGACGAGGAACGCTGAAGTTCGGCGCAGAGTTGTAGGTGACCGCGGTCAGCCAATGGAACAACTGGTTGAAAACCATAAATTACTTTAATTGGGGCATGTTACACAGGTCACCAAATAGGTTGCCATATAGGCAGTGCATGAAACAAATCTATGATCTGGCAGAAGGGTATGAGACTCGGTCATATAGGTCCGGTTGGGTTCGCTGTGTGAGTGGATCTGGAGGTCGTGGTAACTGGTGGTTAGAGACACTGAGTGATATAAATGAGTGTCTCGAACAATGATGTCAGTGCATTTTCTTCTTTTTCCACGTTCAAATTTCTCCAACTGTTTCGTTCAAAAGGCAACAACCCAAACCATCGCATGAAAATGCATGGTTAATGGTTTTACCCACTGAAATTGTGATCACTGGGGCATGACGGATGAGCAGTTGATGAGAAATTGTTTGTAAAACTTGCTCCCCGCGCTTTCTTTTTTGAAGTATAAACACAGTGGACAGTAGCCGATTGATAACAGAATAATCTTCTCTATACAGTCTCACTTTTGTTCTTCGTATCTATATGTCAGACATTATGTATTCGCAATGGGCAATCACCTGCTCGTACCTCAGAGGTGTATTTGTGAAACTAATACGCGGTTCATATCGTCGGTGACTCGTATGAGAGCTCATGCTAATTTCTCTTCGAGTAACTGTCAAACATCGGTCAGCAATCCACATAGATTTTCCCTCAGTTATTGTGCAATCATTGTCAAAATCGCCAAATCGGACATTTTAATAGCATGTGCTTAATGGAAGCAAAGATATAGGTGGGTATTATATCAGATACGTTGCGTCTGAGGTGGGACGACATCATATTCAATTCCGTGAATGAGCCTGGAAAAACGAAGCATTGAGAGGAACAAATCTGATGAAAATCAGGATGTTGCACGAGTTTGGTCAATACCTGTTTTCCTATTTTTAAAACTTGTGTAAGCATATATGCTTACATTTCAGTTAAGATGCACACTGTTTGTCAAGCGGAGTGAAATAATAACAATATTATTATTAGTAATATTAATAATGATGAAATAATACACGAATGGTGAAGAATTTTGCTGATATTTGTTTCATGTACAAAACGTTTGACGTAGTTCACTTGTGACCTGTTCCCTCTTGTTTAGCAGTCGGGCCCAGTAGGGTACAGAGGAATTCGTATAAATGTTAATGCGAGGGGGTAGATACCGAAATGAGGAGCGTGTAGACGGTTGGAACGACAAGCTGATCTAGATTGGAACGCGGTGAATGACGAGGGTCATCTAGAACCTTATGGACAAATGTAACACAACACCTGAATTGATCATCAATGAGTTCTGTGATTAAT